AAGTAAATGTAAACAGTAAGGAGATAATCAGATGTATCAGTATCAGATCTGTACGTTCTCTTAAAGTGACAGCTGTCAAATATACCGGCTGTGGTCTGGGTCTTCAATGTTAAAGGGCACCCTATTATGCCTCTTTTTACTAGATGTAATATAAGTCTCAGAAGTCCCCAGAATGTGTCTGTGAAGTTTCAGCTCAAAATACTCCACAGATCATTTATTATATCATTTTGAAAATGCCTATTTTGAGTGGAAGCAGAAACATGCTGTTTTCGTGCCTGTATTAAATGCAAATGAGCTGCTGCTCCCTGCCCCCTTTTCCAGAATAGGGCTGTGCTGTTGCACAGCTTTCAGTAAGTAAAAAAAGTTAAGAGTGGGACATAGTTGATATTAAAAGGAGTCATTAAAAGCCAGAAAACCTAACCTGGTAATAACGTATTCATGGAGAGGAGTGCGGGCATGCAAAGTATATTTCAGGTTGCGGGTGCACGCCCAATACACACAAAAATTTTAAAATGGCTGCCTTGGTGAGTATTCACGTAAACACAACCGTTTTTTTCTAAACGGACTGTTAACAGTTGCGAGAAAATAGATTGTGTCTCAATACATTGCATAGGTGAATTAAGTCTTAGTGACAGCAGCTTGCTGTCTGCATCAATAATATTAATCAAACAACAAAAGAAAAAGGGAAAAAAAATAAAAATTTCACCGATTTTGACAATAATATTTGTAGCTTTAATAATAATTTTAAAAAAATCAGTGAATATTTCATTCATACTAGGGCTGCACAATTAATCGAATTTCTAATCGCAATTACAATTATGAATGCCACAATTACGTAATCGTTGGCCGCGCCGTTCTCAAGCCCACCCGCCTCTGCTCACTCTAACCCTCCGGCCGTTCCTCACGCTAGCCCCCGGCCTCTGCTCACTGAGATGTAGATCACTCTGCTCACGCTCACTCTAGGCTGCCGTGTGTCACGCTGTGTTTCGTTGTGAAAGCGAAACTACTTTGTTTGGTCTTCCAAAAGAGGACATGACTAGAAATCAATGGTTAAGTTGTATTTACAACACTGTTCCAGAACACTTCAACCCAAATATTCAGATGTGTGCAGCACATTTAATGGAGGACCGTTTCCTGATACTGGGAGAGTAGACTACAATGCCGGCTGTTCTAACTCACAGACTGTAAGTACGTTTTCATAGTTAAAGGATTTACCACTGATGATTCAAACGTGAGATTTGAGCAGTGTAGAGTAGCGCTATATTTAAAGCGAGTTTTTTGGGCAGTGTAGAGTAGGGCTTGTTGTTTGTCATTTCTCCGATCACAAATGCAGACATGGTTTTATGTTTACGCGGCGCGATGCAACGCAACGCGTAAAAAGACAGTATAAGTCATTATAATCCATAATTATGTCCACACAGGATGCAACGAATGCCTCGTTTATAATTGGTTTTCATGTTTTTGAATCATAGCTCCGGCCGGACAGGGCATCATCACAATATGGTAAGGGTCGTAACATTTCCGTCACACGCTTGAGGTATTCGGCCAATCACAACGCACTGGATAGCTGGCCAATCAGAGCATACCTCGCTTTTTTAGAACGATATGGTGAGGGGTGTAACATTTCTGTCACACGCTTGAGGTATTCGGCCAATCACAACGCATTGGATAGCTGGCCAATCAGAGCACACCTCGCTTTTTCAGACTGATGAGCTTTGTAAAAATCGACGCGTTTCAGAAAGGCGGGGCATAGAGGAGAAACAATAATGTACAGTATGTGGAAAATAATGTGTTTTTTTTTACCTTAAACCGCATAAACACATTTCATTACACCAAATACACCAAATAATGTTCTTTTTAGCAGCATCATATGACCCCTTTAAGATTTTTTCTTTCTACATTTTATCTTAAGGGTTTTTCCCATTATTTACATTTTAGTTTTAGTATAACATTATAATACCATTCATATTTTTACTTTTTTATCATTTAAAGAAGAAACCAATCCAATGTATAGTTGACATTTGAGGCTTAATACTATGGAAAAGCACTAAAAGTTTTTCAGTTAGAGTGTTTTCAGCTTGTTTATTTTCATATAAAAATGCGGCATGCAAACAATGGTATAAACATCATTCAACGGAAATTGTGATAATCGAAATTAATAATCGTAATTACAATTTCAAGGGTATAATCGACAATTATGATTTTTGTCAATCGTGCAGCCCTAATTCATACAGAGTTGTATTATACATTTGATTACTTTATTCAATGTCTGTAATATCTCTTACTAGAATGCTGTTAGACTTAAAGCTTTTTAATCCGTTTCATTTGTTTTGACTGTTTACTTGTCTTCAATAACTTTCTACTTATCAGTAAGGCTACTAGTTTTTACTGCTCAGTAACTTTCAAAATAGTCATAAAAACTAACATGAAAAAGAATTGTGATTGTGGAACCTGATCCTGCTCGAATAGATAGTGATATAATATTTATGCCGTATCACCCACCCATAATTAGCATTAAGCCCTGTTTGGTAGTAGTTAAGTGACTTACATCTTGAAAAGTTCTTCCTCATCCTCCTCTAGGGTCTTGACATCCTGCTCAGGTAGCGAGACAATGGGTTCAAACTGAGGGTCATGGTTGGGGTCCTCTACATTTTCTGTGGATGCATCATGATCATCTTGTGCCTCCTGGAGGGGGAAATCATAACAGCAGCTTTTGTAAATCAAACTTAAAAAAATAAAAATAAAAAAACACACACACACAACATAAACAAGGCCAAACTAATGTCTAATGCAGTTGGAAAATGATCCAGGATTAGATTTTTTTTGGTGAATTACATCACAAATTTGCTACAGCGTTTGTTCTGCTGAGCTTCACAATGTCCTGATCCCCTCTGTAGGGATCCTGCTTCCACATTACTCATCAGATCAGTGGAGTGAAAGGCTGTGGGATTTGGAGGGATCATTCTCTGGAGTTTGGCCTATTGTCTTTGAATGTGCTGCTGCTACCTAACTTGCAACCCCCCGGTGCTGAGCCGTTAACTTGAACTCACTTGCTGTGATGCTGGGGAATTCATGCACTTGCTATCCACTAATCAATCACCGGTCTAACATCCACGAAGGCCTTGTAGCTTGAATTATTCAAATGCTTTACCAACTCTGGCAGCAGATCTTCTGCACATGTGAAGCTTGAACGGTTCAACCACTTTTAGTTAAGTTTCGTTCAGTAAGCATTTTAAAATTACTAAGCGGTTTATTTTGCTAAACGACTGACTTCACTCAAGAACAGATACCGGATGTTTAACTTGTGTCTAAAGGCGTGAGTTATATCGTTTTCTTAAAACTGGACAGTCAGTTAGCATCCAGGCTAGCAGAAGCTAATAAGCGGCCTAAAGGCGTCTAAGTGTTTAAATCTCCGCCTCACCCCACAGTTTTGAAAACATTGAGCAAAAACAGTTAATAGACGCAAATGAACCCGGAAGGGTTTTAATAAACCGGCTATGAACTTCACATGTGCTGCAGGTTAGCGATGCTAACGCTCACAGGCTAACAGTGTCTTCGCATGAGAAATTAAATTTTTTTTAATTATGAGCCGTAATTACTTGGAACATGCCGTGGATATGTTTATTACGTAAAAAAATCACGAATATTTGATTGTCTTACGTTTAAGGAAGTGACGAACACAAATACACATACAATTATGAATTTAAAGACGTTACAGCTGCTACTGACAGTAGCGTGATTTCAAATAAACAACGTTGACAGGGTATAAAAACGCGATATTAAGAATATAATGTGGAAAGGTGCATTTTTAACGTCTAATATTCAAGCGCGCGACGTAGGACGAGGAAAAAACACCTGCTTTTCACTCTGTTAAACAAGACCCTCATACAACATCTATCGCCAACAAAACATCCAAAATAACCGTCTCTCGCGATCCGAAAGGGACAGACGATGAAGACGGCTGCCTTCTTACCTTTGGGTCCGCCATGGTTCTTGCAGATGTTTGAAGATTAGGGAGAGTTTGTGTTCGGTTTGATCAGCGCTAGCTCGTGAGATTTCGCTCCGCTACTTTCGCGCGCGCCTAACCGGAGGAGAGAGAGACGGTGACGTCAGCACACCCCCGGGTTTACATTCAGCGTCTGCGCATTTGACACTACAGTCTGATTTGACACTGTAAAGTTTTATGGTCCTGGGATTTTTCTACGTCTCATTGACCCTCTGTAGATCACCTGCAAATGTAAATGCATTTGTAGAGCCCTGCAATGCAGAGGTATTGACCTCTATTAAAGTTTGCCCTGTAAACTATAAGACTGAATCTTCAGCATGTTCAGCTCTGACACTCTGACAATTTTACATTAGGCTATGTGAAAACTTATGAGATAGATTATCTATGATTTACTGAACTAGCTCTATTGAATGAATTCTGAAGAATTAAGACCCAATGCTGCACAAAATTGCCTTAAAAATATATAATTATTTTTTTTAAATATTAAAATAAAATTTAATTGCCTTAAAAATCTAGGAAAGATATATATGAATATATATAAGTGCAACTGTCTGTCTGTTATGGAGTGTTTAAACAAAAAATATATTAGAAATCATGTTAGGAATCTGCAAATTTTGATTAATTAAAAAAATTATAAATGACACAAATTTAGTGCCTCAACATAGAATGGCAGAGATGAAATCTAAGGCTGTTCTCTTTATTAACCTAAACTATTTTCTAATATCTCAACAGCAAATCAGTACTGTAACAGTATCACAATAATACGACCCCTGCTAACTATACCACCAAGTTGGACATTATTTACAAGGCAGTCTGAGATTTTATTGCTGTTCCGATCAGCAGCAGCCAAACAGATTTTCTTCAAGCCAAAGCCCGAAAAGCTAGTTTGTGTCCACAAATCTCTGAGGGGGCCGTCTGGGCTGCAGTTGAGTCCTCTTGGCATGAAACACTGGAGGTGTTTTTATTTAATCTACACAAGCTTGTATTTTAATTCGTTGTAAGTGAATGTATTTTATTGACCATACACAAAATATACAGGAACAAACCTCGGCATTGCTTCTCAAGTATCCCTTGGCAAATTACGGTCAAACACTGGTTTCACCCTTAAGTCACAGAGTTTAATCAATTTTTAAAATATACATAAACAACATTTTCTGATTTTAAATACCCCAAATTCCCTCCCGTTTACTTCTTTTTCCTCCCTCCTTCATCTCTCACTTGGCAATCTTTTCCCTAAATCCTAGCAGAGAGGGCACCTACTACCTCCACAAAAATGAAATCACTAGTTGTGCAGCATATTGCTTTTTTTTTTTTTTAAAGACATTTGCGAGCATAAATACTAGTTTGTTTTCTGCTCTGATGTTGGACTGTTCAGAAGTTGAAACAGCAATGTCCTCCAAACTGCCCTTCCAAAAAGAGAAAATGTCCAAAATAATGAGCTATTCTCCTCTTTATGACCCATGCTTTACGAACACAATGCAGATACTAAATGGATGTACTTTCAGTCCTCTGTTCTGTTGGTGTCTTTCTTTCTAGAACTTTCTTAGCCCTTCCGAAGGGCAAGTTACAGGTGGTGTCCATTGTTGAAACTCCAATCTGGGCCTCAGAAGTCTCTTTTTCCATTTGCTTCGCCTCCATACATTTCTGTTGGTCTCATTGTACCTCTTTGTACGTCCAATAAGTCCTCATTAATCGAGGAAGTCTGTATCTACTGATGGTCACCAACATTTTAGGATAGATCGGGTTGGTAGGCATGGTTACAACTGGTCCACAGTAGGCAGGTGCAGGCAGAGTGAAGGGCAAAGCTTAACTGTTTAACGGCACTAAAGGAAAACTCAATTTAGTCACAAGGCATGCATGTTACACACTCAGTTCTAGAGTTTGCCCTCGAGAGAGTGATATCTGTGTGCATGTACATACATCTTGTCTGCGTATGCATGTATGAGTGCAAGTGTGTATGCGTTCAAGTGTATAGGGGTCTCTTGTCTTGCAATCTTAATTAATTGAGTCCTTCTGCCCCACTGCAGCAGGGCATGACGATCTCACACTCTGGGGGAGTATTTGGGGTTTCTTGGCACCTCGGTGAAAGATTTCAGCTCGTAAGGAATCCCAGCGTCTACCTCGATGGACTTGCGGGAGAATAGCAGCCGGATATCATTGTGCAAGTAGATTTTCCCAGATTTGGAACTCTGGAATCTGACATATGTAAACAAAGAGGAGAGGAAAAACAGGTTTGTTGGGATTCATTGCTTCTATTTTGAATATACCACTTAGAAGAGACGTACTTTTATGATTATTTTAAAATAGAATATATTAAACATAGTTATTTAGTCTTTTAAGTTAGTTGCAAACTAGCCTAAAATCACACACTTGGGGCTATAGAATTAAAAGTATAAAATAAAATAAAACTGTGATCAATTTGCAACTATATGAGAGCAATAGTGGTAGTACAACAGTTTGCACCCATTATACATACATTCATGTGATGTTGAAGTGTTGCTGTCCCATCTTTTTCTTCTAAATTAACAAAACTGGCTTATGTCTAAGAGAACTACACTGTGTTTAAAAATTTGGGGTCAGTTTATTATTATTATTATTGAAAAACTAATACTTTTATGAATACTTTTTAAAATACTTTTATTCAGCAAGAATGCAATAAATTGATCAAAAGTGGCACTAAAGACTTTTACAGTGTTAAAAAAAAACATTCAAATTAATGTTGTTCATGTGAACTTTCTATATGTGACCCTGGACCACAAAACCAGTCTTAAGTCGCTGAGGTATATTTGTAGCAATAGCCAAAAATACATTGTATAGGTCAAAATTATTGATTTTTCTTTTATGCCAAAAATCATTAGGACATTAACTAAAGACCATGTTCCATGAAGATATTTTGTAAATTTCCTACTGTAAATATATCAAAACTATATTAAAACTTAATTTTTGATTAGTAATATGTTTTGCTAAGAACTTCATTTGGACAACTCAATATTTAGATTTTTTTGCACCCTCAGATTCCAGATTTTCAAATAGTTGTATTCTCTGCAAAATATCGTCCTATCATAACAAACCATACATCAATGGAAAGCTTATTTATTCAGCTTTCAGATGATGTATAAATCTCAAAATCTTATGACTGGTTTTGTGGTCCAGGGTCACATATATCAAATAATCCTGAAAAATCAGTTTCCCCAAAAATGTTAAGAAATGTTTCCTGAGCACCAAATAAGCATATTAGAATGATTTCTAAAAGATTATGTGATACTGAAGACTGTTGTAATGGCTGCTGAAAATTCAGCTTAGCCATCATAGGAATAAATTGCATTTGAAAAAAATATATTAAAACAGAAAACTTATTTTAAAACAGTAAAAATATTTCAAAATCTTACGATTTTTACTGTATTTTTGATCAAATAATTACAGCTTTGTTAAGTGTAAGAGGCTTCTTTAAAAGAAAAAAAAAGCATTTTGAACAGTAGTGTACATCCGGTCAAAGTTTACCTGAGGTGTATCAAGTAGCAGAGAATCTTCTTCCTGTCAGACAAGGAGCCCTCCTGCCCCTCCCTTGACCCCTCCGCCTCATCAACAGGCACCAGGAAGATACGATGGCGCAAGAAGGTCATGTGATTAACGGGCATGTCCCCAAAATTATACGTCACCAAAAACATTTTAACCACAGTCTTATTAGGGTTAAATAAGGTCTGCAAAAAATAAAACAAACAAAAAAGACAGTTCAAACAAAGGATTAAAAAAGTTATAACATTTAAAAAAAATGTAAAAGTTAAAAAATATTGAAAAAATATATAAATAAATGGAAAGAAATAGAAAGAGAGCCCACCACTTGAATGGTCCCTGCTTTGGGTACGCTGTATCCTTTTTTCCCAAGTGGTTCTAGCAAGATCACCCCCTAAACATTGCAAAGAATATGACAGTTAATATGCATTTTACAAAAGAGAATTTACATGTCAATGATGGGTAAAAAAAAATCTCAATAGATTTAGAAAAATAAAAAAAAGTACTGAGAATTCTGTACTGTAATAGGCCAGATGAATTCAACACACAGAGGCAGTAAGTATATACCAGGAAGGGAGAAGGGGCGCTGTGCTCAGAGGTGTCATAATACGTCACTTGCACAGGTAAGGTGGCATGTTGCGGGCAATATGAGCCGCTAGCCCCGATCTCTGCTGTGAAGCCCTCTATCTGCCCAGATGGAGTAAAACGACCCTTCAGAATTGACTCCTGCAGACAGATGCACACAACAACCGATCAAAAATGCACCAAAACATTAGTCACTGTTGATTAAGGCTGGAATAAATTACACAACTTTTAAAATATGAATACATTTTAAAACACTAGTCATCATACAACTGCAGACTTCATATATTGTTACAAAGGAAAAACTGGGCATCATAACAACACAAATGTGCGAAGTTGTTTAAGACATGCTTTTTTGTGCATTAAATGATGACGCAAGTATCAGTAAACTGACTACCAAAACTTAGCATTTTGCATGTTTTCTTTAAATACTCACTCCCATAAATATTGTGCCTGAAAGGGAAATTCCTACAAATACATAAGCAATAAGGTCAGCCACAAAAATAACTGTGTCCACGCTTTTTCATCTGTAATGTTTCACTGCGTTTCTTTAGTAAATCCTGACAGCAGGGTTTGTGCAGGCGCAAGCGGTTAGTAAATCTGGCCATAGATTAAATTAAATAAAAATCAAAGTCTGTGCTCATAATACACTATGAGATTTCCTGTGAACTGTGTCAACTCCAACTGCCTAAAATCTGCAGACTTCCACTGACTTTCAGGAACTAGCACTGACACTGTCTCTTAGTCACTTTTAATCTCTTTTTTAATTTGTATACCATGGTTTTATTGGCTTCAATGACAAACAGTATCGAAATATATATAAAACAGGTGTTGTGTGTTAATCTATATTAATTCAGAATTTTATTTCTTCATGGCTTGGACTTGTGTACCTCAAAGTTGCCAAGAAGAGGTCTGCTAATGGAGGATAAAGAGGAAATTGAACTACAGGAGCGACTGGTGTCTGTCCGGCGTCCACTGCGTAACTGTCGACTATTAAAACAAAAAAGTAACATACACGCATTCTTATATATTAACACAATGTAATTTGAAACAAAATGAAAAAAGAAAAGAAAAAAAAGGATGACTTACGATTTGAGTCGACTCCCCACTTTGAGCCTTCTCCCTGATCCTGTAGCAGTCTGAAAAATGAAGTTTGAAAAAGATGTTACAACTAATACTGTGTTTTATTCCAATAAGACTTATGTCAGTAAATAACCTCGAAATATTTACTGAGTTAAGGTCCATTTTATGATCATGTAAAACCAGAATGTTGATAAACGTTTAAACTAGATTTGAATCTCCTTAACGGGAATGACAATCAGAAAAGTGTTTGAATGATTGGAAAAATGATTTTAAAAAGAAAAAGAAGGCCCATTATGACATCAGACTTAGAATGCTGAACAATTTAAAGTCGATTTCAAATTTTCAAACTTCAATTAAGATTTTAAGTACTTACAGAAGAAGATGTGGCTGCAATATCACACATATCACAGTAGTCCATAGTATCATTCTGATAAGTTATTAAATATCAGCTAGACTTAACTATAGAATGCATATCAAACTTGTACATTTTCAGCTAGTCTGAACCTTTATTTCAGTCTATCTATTTGTTTCTCTATGCTAAACCTCCATTCGCGCTTTCCTTTTTGTGATAGTCTCTTCGCTGGCCTGTTTCTATGATCATTTCTCTGTCCTTCACTTTCTCTTTTATTCTTCCCTTCTTGGCCTTTCTTCAGTCCTGAGCTCAGCTTTCGAGCACCGCTGTGATGCGTGTACAATGACAGTATATGAGCTTCTGTAGTCCATGTAACCCCTTCTCACCACAAATTCACTCATTCTGGAACTGAATTTGGCCAGAACCTGTATGTGTGTATTTAGGTGAGGCAGGTCTCACCTCTTGAACAATGGCTCTGTCAATGGGCTTTGTTCTGGAGTCCCAATGCTTATTGTGCTGCAATGGAAAATTAAGCATGCATATTGGGAGTGAGAAAGTGAGAGATTTTAGAATATGTCTTTTGTTTCCATCTGACTATCCACCTTTCATCATGACTCTGTCAGTAATGGAAGATTATCTCCGCCCCCTTCACACTTAAACCAAGAAAAGTTTTGTCCTTAAACTAATAAGCACCTTCCCATTTCCACTTGTAATCGTTCATAATGTGGAAAAATCTGGCATGTTTTTACCCCTGAATTAAGGCCCCATCACATGACTCACATTCAATGCATCTTTCACATGCCGCTTTGATCATTACATGAAAAGCATTGCAAATATTGTCACAAAAGGCTGATTTTACTATTTATTAAATTAAAGTGAATTTCTAATGTGTATTATAATAATAAAAATGTGCATAATATGATTTCACTCTCTGAAAACATTTTGTTTTCCATCATGTTGAAGAGTTGAGTTGAAGACTTTGAGATTTGCATTACTAGATCCCCTCCCCCAGGGGGAGTCTTCAAGGTTAGATCACAAATGCATTATGTGGCAGGATCCCAAATGGGAGACCTGAGGCTGTTTTGTTTGAAGTCAATGGAGGAGAGGCCACAGTATAGTGAATGAACTGGTTGTGAATGGAAAAAGATACAGATATGTAATAATCTTCAACATGTCTGCCTCATGATATATATCCTTACTGTATGCCAAACTTTTGAACAAAATTGCAAATAGGATTCATTTATGGCACCACAAATTAGTTTTTATGCTTGTTGCCAGTGGTACTCATTCCTAATTTGTTTATTGTATGGGTATTTGTATAACTGGTTCACGGGGCTGGCTGTTAAAATGTTAAGTTTGTACAGTATCTCTAGCTGCATTGTTAAGTCATGTGAAAGGGCCTTCAGTTTCATTTCTACTTTATTTGCATTTCACCTTGGTGTGTTCCCTTGCTGAGGGTAGTAGATGGTTCCAGAAGGGTGCACCCTTGGCATCAGTGCTGCGACAGGATGCTAATCCGAGCCCCGGTGCCAGCATTGCCAATCGACTTCGTTTTGATGTAGATGGACCCTCATCTTCTGAGCAGGACTCTCCTGTATCACTGGAGGAGAGAAGTCTTTTCTTCACTGGGCAGGAATTGGATGATCCTGATGTCAGGCCATTTGCTTCCACTGGTGTTTTCTCAAGAGAGCTCAGTCCGTTAGAGGAGGAGGAAGAGGATGAGGAGGTCTTCATCTCTGATGGTGGAGGAGAAGATTCAAAAGTTTCCCGCCATTCGACAGCTTCAGCTGGTGTTGAAAATGGGACAGGTGCCCAACTCTCTGTGGTGCACAACATGACCTTGACGTCGACAGAGTTATGGCATTCGTCCCGTGGTCCTTCGCTGGAGCCAGCCAGGACATTTCCTGCTGTGGAGGCCTCGGTTCTGGGAGTAAGGGTAGGAGGACTCCCTTCACAGTGGCCCCAGGTGCAGTGAGGGCCCTGTGGGTCCACCATAGGGGGAGATTTTGGGGACAGCGGGGCGAAGGCATCTGGGATGGGTCTGTCGTGGTTGTGCTGGGCTGGGCGGCGACCAGGAATCAGTAGATGCGAAGGGGAAAGGGGAGGCGACCTAGGGATTTCTGAGTCTCTGTGCTCAAGGAGCAAGTTGGAAAAAAGTGGTTCCACCCCAGACCCACATAGCACCTTCCCATCGGACTCATCATCGTCATCCTCATCCTGTTGGAAAAGACGCTTGTGAGTGACAGGTACCGACGTCCCCTCCAGGCTACGTTTCATACCTACTCGAATAGGCCGAAGAGTCTCTTGATTTTCACCAAAACCACCTCTTTGGGAGAGGATGGATAGCTGGTAGACCTTTTGCAGCCTGATCTCTTCTTCTCCAAAAGGTCTGGAAACGACTCGCCGTATTTCAGATTCAGGGCTCTCGCTCTGAGCGCTAGGCAGAGGTAGATCCCCGTCCTGGGCTGGAAGCTCAACGGCTGGCTCTTTACGAGCCAGTTCCACGTGGATGTGACGCATAGTGACTTTATTTGTGCTGGGTGATTGTTTCAGGGGCAGTTGTGCAGTGTTAAATAATAAAGACAAGCTCCAGAGAGTTTTAGAATGTCTAAACAAGTGCAACAAGGCTGTGAAAGTGAAAGTAAGCTTCCCGTCTCATAGATGGAATTTACTTGGGATTTCCACAGTGCGTACAGCTTCTGAAGTAAAACAAACAAGAAAAAATACAAGTATAAGAAAACTGATATGAAATGCATAATAAAGATTACACAGCAGAATAGTAACAACGAACACTATTTAAATATGTGTATCTTTTACAATACATTGTCATTTAGACAAAATTCGCTTTATTTTGATATGGACATCAATAAAGCTCATGCATAATTAATATATAAACATCATATGATAAAAATACAATAAACATCATATAAACATATGACAAGTTATATCGGTATGCAAGACAGATCTTGATTTAGTAACCTCTCCGATCGATTCAGTGCAGTGAAGGATTTGTTAGATTCAAATCACGAACTCATCTTTTTGAACAACCACAAAAAATGGTTAATCAATTCAGGAATCAGACTACACTGTTTGCGCTATATGTTTTTGATTCACTAACACATACCATAAGATTCATTCCTCAGGAAATGAGACCATAAAAGTCACATTGTATGTTTTTGATTTAGTAAAAAAAACTGGCTCTTAAGAGTCATTCATTTGGGAATCAGACTACATTGGCTGCACTGGATATTATTGATCCACCAAAAAGAAGAACTGGCTTATATGCGTGATTTGTGAATCGGATGGTACTGAACACAATCTATGTTTGTTTTTGGTAGTAGCCTGAAAGGACAACTCAACAAAAAGACATTATTGCCAATATTTCCTGGTACACAGACTTTTTATCTCAATCACATTTAATACAAACAGCAATCTCGCATTCACAACTCGAGTAAAATATGATTTATTTTGCACAGAAGATTCTGCATTAAGGGAGCATCACTGCTGTAAATTGGAGCAGGAAAGTGTCATCAAATATATTTACCGAAGAAGTGTGTGAATGACCATTTTCCTAACCTACATGCCTGTTGGTGCCTGCAGCTTGGCTTCAGGTCCTTCCACATCCACCCCTGCAGCTTCTGAGCTGTGTTGACCCTTGAATCTTGACCCTGACCTTAGCCCCTGAGTTCTGCCATCTCCAATACTGCCCCTCTGATGCAACAACAGCATTCCCAGATACACAGGCAGCTAACAGGGGCCTGACAACAACACAAATAAAAATGTCAGAGAAACAATCAACCAGATTTTTAAGCGTTTTTGAAAGTAGCCTCACCAAGACTGCATTTATTTGATGAAAAATACAGTAAAAACTGTAATATTGTGAAATATTACAAATTACAATAACTGTTTTCAAATTTATTATCTTTTCAAATGTAATTTATTCCTGTGATGGCAAGTTACACCACTAATCCAGACATGAGTGTCGTGATTCTTCAGGAATTATGTTAATATGCTGATTGGGGCCCAAGAAACATTTCCTAATATTTCTAAATATATTACACTAACATAATGTTGAAAACAATTAGCCTACATAAAACAAAAATCTAAACTAATTTTTGGACATAAACTTGATTATTTCTGTGTTGCACTCAACAGACAATGTTAAATTTAACATTAGGTCTACCAAACTTTGACGGCAGATCTAGCATGCGCAACAGTCACTTGGTTACCAGTATCATAGTACATACTTTTAGTTTACTTACCAAGGGCAGAGCGTCAGTGAGGTGGGAGGGGCCTTGCAGAACGTGCCAATGAATAAGTATTATCCCTCCTACAGCTCCACCCAGATAAGGCCAGCGGCCAATCACACCCCCCCTTGGCTCCTGAAAGGAGTGGACTGCTCAGCGGCTGCATCCTGAGCCAGGCATTCCAGAGACACAACCTATCAAAGAACAATGGTTAATCAACAACAAATCGACTTGATCAAATCAGTAACCATGCCACACGGACCCAGTTCAACCTGCACATGATCCGAATCAATCGTTGTAAACATTTAAAAATCAAGTTATCAAATTGATCAGTCATTTAATAGCTTTTTATTCAAGACATCTTTGTACTGGTCATTAAATCAACCAAGCAAATTACACTAAGAGGGAACAGACACAAAGAGCAATCGTATGACTCACTACACTCATTTTATGCCATCTGATTAGGACACATGCTTGAACAGACTGTGTATTGCATAGCTCTGACTGGCTCTCTGTCTCTAGAGCTCAGGCCTGCTTGGGATCAAGGCTGGCAGACAAAACACAGGGACAAACAACAGAACCTTTGTACGGTCTTGCATCAGAGAACGAGTCCTGCTCATTAAATGACAAAAACAGGAACATACAAGCACTAACACACTAACTTGTGTAGACCTAAGCAATGGCTTTCGGAAAAACATGAAACAAGTGAACATTATCTACTGCAGCTTTGCTAAACACATGCAAATAGTAGTCTGAATGCAGACTAGCTGAATAAATCTATTTGTCCTTCCTTTTCAACACAAAAAAATAAAAGAATATTGAAATTATAGGGGTCTAGTGCTGAAATTTCTGTCATTTATTCACACTCATATTGTAACAAACCTGTATGGCTTCATTTTGTCTGTGGAACAGAAGCTATTTTGAAGAATGTTTCAGATTTCTCATTTTTGGGTGAACTATCCCTTTAAGGCCAAATGTAGGCCATTATTTACAATGTTGTCTCGTGATCATTTATCTGGATGGTCAAGCTGTTTTCAGCTATCTTAAGGAAGCATACATTAGATCTATGGGGAGAATAGATTGACAAATACTATGCATTATGAAAAACATAATATGTGACCCTGGAGCACAAAACCAGTCTTAAGTCGCTTGGGTATATTTTTAGCAATAGCCAAAAATACATTGTATGGGTCAAAATTATCGATTTTTCTTTTATGCATAAATCATTAGGATATTAAGTAAAGATCATGTTCCATGAAGATATTTTATAAATTTCTTACCGTAAATATATCAAAACTTAATTTTTGATCAGTAATATGCATTGCTAAGAACTTCATTTGGACAACTTTAAAGGCGATTTTCTCAGTATTTTTATTTTTTTGCACCCTCAGATTTTCCAAATGATTTTCCAAATATTGTCCTATCCTAACAAACCATACATCAATGGAAAGCTTATTTATTCAGCTTTCAGATGATGTATACATCTCAATTTCAGTAATTTTCTTATGACTGGTTTTGTGGTCCAGGGTCACATATGTTTGTCAGTTTAAGGCAGTGAAAATCATGAATGCCACAAAAGAGATCTGGGAATGAAATGGTGCCTGATTACACAATTTTCATATCACATACACTATCATTCAAAATTTTGGAGTCGGTATTATTTTATA